AAATAGAATTTGCCAAGCCCATGCAAAATTGTCATAACATCACATATCCTGTTAGGGAAAGATTTTGTAACCATAATCAGTACCAAAACCTTTTTGACTTGATCCTCTGCCACGTGACGTGATCACTTCCTGTATCTCCTCGCTCCCCCTCTCTCTCCTGTCTCTCATGACAAGGGATAAAGACACAAGAACAGCTTTTAGTAGTTCATGCCATCACTGAGTATTTCCAACCGTTCAATATTCATTCGTTCTACATTATTCACTCTAAGACTAAACTCAGAATTAAATAGATCGCTCAAAAACCTTTTTTTATTTTAATCCGTTATTTAATTCTTTAATTAAATGGATTATAATCCGTTATCCTATATTTAATTTATTTTATTTATAAATTCAATAGGCTACAAAACAAGTTTCATCTTTAACCAATCGCAGTTTAAACTAGAATCATCATGTTAAAATCTCTTTATGCGTATTTGTTCCGTCGTCTGTGTTCCTCTGTCTCCCCCTGCAGTTTAACCAATGTGTTGTTTTGCAGAATCCCACGCATGCGCAAATATCATTTTAACCTCATGCTTGAGTTGCAGCATCCCCTCGTGGTGTCATTTAGTGCCGTAAAACAAAACGTTCCCTAACCTCGTGCCATAAACTCCCCTTTCTGTAGTGTAGTGTCGCAAAATTAAACGCATGCCCATACATTTATTACATAAATCGCTCCAAAACATTTCATTTAATTTTAATCGTCTTTTAATTTAATTAATTATACTCCGTCAACATATATTTGATTTATAACTTTACTACATCTCGCCAAATAGTTTCCCGTTCGAACAACAGCCGTTTAACACCTAAGAGATTTTTTCCCAAAATCTCTCTTATTCTGTGACTATTATCCCTTGCCGCGTCACATGGGACCTATGACCCTTACCCATAATGCCGTGCTTTGTAGGCTTAGCACATAACCACATGTTGTAGTTTTTAGCCCCGTAAAATCACACGCACATGCGCACAACTAATTTTAAAGCCATGCTTCCCACACCATAGACCGATAGCATTACGCTACAGTTTCACCATTTTATACCTTATACTCACACAATTACACATAACAGAGCTCACATTTGCGTAGAACTTTCAGTTCCACCACATACAAACAAATTTAAGAGGCTTGAATCCATCGCAGTGGACCTCCAAGGTTAAAGTTATCATGTAGCACACAACACACTTAGCATTTAGCCATTGCTAACTGCTGCCTACAACATGTAACAAAACCCAGCATTGCGTTCCTTTAATTGAGTACTGTTTCGTTTGCCCTAAATTTATTCTGCCGTGGATATGGCTATTTCAGTGAGCGATCCCCCCCAATGCAACTATCCCGTCGAACAGAAGTTGAGTAAGCCATCCCCAAGAAATGTCCCACCAACCCCAGTCCCAGACTGACCTGGAAACTCCTAATGCATTTCCAGGATTTTGGCCCACCCTGGTGGTCGCCCCGTGTGTCACGAGGGCTTATCTAAACCTGCAATGCTCTAAAGAATGCGCATATCTGAATTTACCAACCATTGACCATAGTTACCAATGAAATATAAACGTATCACTCTAAATTATCATTGCCATCCGTTACCAATGAAATAAATTATCATTGTCTATAGTTACCAATGAAATAACATTTTAGCAGACTCCAGTCGACCAGCAACAACGCCACCTGAGGCCAGGTTATAATGGAACATCTCTTCAACGTACACAAGTCATATCCAATCTAACAAACTCCGAAGCGGTAAGAACACTCACCCTTTTTTCGGCCATGCTTCAGAGAGAGTTAGGCCGGCGGTTGACTGAAACAAGGAAGAGACGCAAAACCCGCCCCACGTTGGGCGCCATTATGTCGTATATGATGAATGGTGGCAATTATCGCTGTCAACAAAGAGTTCGCCATACTGCATCATGTTAGAGGCTTTTATTAAAATCACGAATTTACAGCATAGATACAGACTCGCGATGTCCGGAGAACGGCCACATCAATCTGGGAGCCGTTCTCCGGACATCGCGAGTCTGTATCTATGCTGTAAATTCGTGATTTTAATAAAAGCCTCTAACACGATGCAGTATGGCGAACTCTTTGTTGACAGCGATAATTGCCACCATTCATCATATACGACACCAGTTTAACTGCAACCATTTAAAAAACATTTAAAACCTGGACACAAAAATATAAAAACAAACAATATTAAAAGGCTTTTCTTGTTCGGTAGTCTTGACAGCCTAGAAGTTTCTACCCCCACTGCGCAACATAAATATAAAAGATTAGCTATAGCTAAGATTGCAAAGGGAGAAAAAAAGCGAATAGCAAAAAAAGGAAAAGGGTATTGAAGTGGAGAATTGTGGCTAAATCTAAAAACATCAGTGTTACGGTTGTTCAACAGTGCTTTCAAATCATGCCATTCTCCCAATACTATGAAAAAGTGGAGCGTTCATATTTATACATACATATAATTCTGGTGCATAACCTTGGCACTGACGCAGATAATTCTAGAATTGGTTTTGACACATCTTAAATATTGATTCAAAATGTTAATCAGAGAAAACAAAAATTCAACATATAAAGCCACATCTCGTCAGCAGGATGCATCGTGGGAGTATAAGCATAGAAAACCAAAATACTACTTTCTCAAAATTCTCTCAAATATTTGAGGGTACGGCCTCCCAACACTTTGGACATGCATATAAAATACAGGGTCAGTGTGGACTGTGTAAAAGCACCAGCAGCCCTTGTCAATACTGAAATGTCTACACAAGTATGGCTTTATTGATATTTCTCTCACACGCATAAATTAAACCAGGGATGGGCAACGTTGATACGGGTGGGGGCCACAAAATCTTAACTCATCATGAGGGGCACAGTGGCTTGTGGGTCTGAGTACCCACATCTATAACCACACATGCATCGACCTTACGAGAAAAACATTTTAACAGCCCCCATCTTGACATTGGAGAGAAGAAAATTAAGTTTGGGAGTACATTTTCTGCAATTCTACATATTTTGCCATGGGGCAGAGAGGAGTGTTTGCAGTTTTTAATATAATATCTGAGTGAGTGACTAACACAATCAAATGGGGCCCCCGTCTGTAATTCGACCATGACCAACCACATTTTTTTTGCTGACATGGGCTAATTGACTGACCGACATAACAGAAACTGCTGATTCACAACCAAATTTTGAAATTCTACCTCTCGACAGTAAGTTGAGACCAGGGTTTCCGTTAGCTGGTAAGAGCCGGCTTTTGGCCTATATATATATATATATATTTTTTTTTTTAGAAAAGCCGATAAATAAAAGTGGCGCCGGACAATTGTCCAGGAGAAGAAAAAAATCCCATTGTGATATAATGCTTTTTAGCCTATTCATTGATGGAAATACCAGTCGATGTAAATACATTTGACTGGTCATGCTTATCGGTCTATAGGTTAACTTGCATAATTTAGTGGAACTAAATTGGCGCATGCGTAGGCTACAGTATATTCGTTATGTATCTTCTTTATCACACCCCTACAGCATACAGATAGAGCCTTTGAGCGGAAAATATGTCAGACAGCGAGAGAGCTGCTGCAGCATCTCAAACGGCAACAGAAGGCAGGCTTCATCAGCACGTCACACCAATGAGAGAGCTGCTAACAGCATCTCAAACGGCAACAGAAGGCAGGCTTCATCAGCACGTCACACCAATGAGAGAGCTGCGGCAGCATCTCAAACGGCAACAGAAGGCAGGCTTCATCAGCACGTCACACCAATGAGAGAGCTGTGGCAGCATCTCAAACGGCAACAGAAGGCAGGCTTCATCAGCACGTCACACCAATGAGCTGGAGGCAGTAGGCTACGCATTTTGAAAACATAATTGTTTGAAACCTGAACATTTTAATACATACGAGGCATGTCTTACCTTGCTTCAATGTAGCCTATTAGATCTCCTCTCTTTCAAAATTTCTAAAAAATATTTTCATCTGTCACATTAAACTGCTTGCATGTGCGGTGCCCTTTTGACAACAGGTGTTTTCCCGCTAATTGCATTATGTAACAAACATTTGTGCATAGCCTACTGCCATGTGCGCATTGCTGAGCTTATAATGTGAATACATTTACATTTTTGTCGTTTAGCAGACGCTGTTATTCAGAGCAACTTACAGTAGTGAGTGCATACATTTTCGTACTGGACCCCCGTGGGAACCCATTCGAACCCAAACCCTGGCGTTGCAAGCGCCATGCTCTACCAACTGAGCCACACGGGATCATAGTTTATCAACATTAAGCTAAAGGTTTGGATCGGTTGCATCAGATTCATTGGGCTCTATCTTCCCATAACTGTCCCAGAGTCTTTTTGGAATAGGCTATTTCTCTGCCAATAGAATAGGTAAACTTTTCTACTATGGGGGATAGTAGATTGACATAGGCTAGTGGTTTTGCTGTTCGTTACTCGTCTTGTTGGCTGAGGAAAGGTAAATGTAAACAGTTATTCTAACATCTCTAAAGTGCACATCAGAATCAGGACCACACATCCTTGCATCTGACTTGCATGTTCTGTTAATATGAATTACCATAATCTAAAATGTGATGTGTCATTCTGAGCACTGTGGGTGGACGCCTTAATCAGGTTACGTACCCAATACATATGGGTCCGGCAGATTTCTCAAATGTCCGGTAAACTAAAATGTTGCTGGTCAAATGTCCAGCGCCACATTTTCCTAACAAAAACCCTAGTTGAGACCCAGACTGAGTTGGAGAATGGGGGGCTACAAAATGGGGCCCCCAGTTGCCCATCCCTGACTTAAACTGTCTTGACTGTCCACAAAAGCGCCTCTAAAAATATAATCCACCTGTAAATCCTATTTAATAACATTCATATTGTATTGCACTTAGTCATCGTAAGTGTCACTGATCGTGACAGTCCATATGCGAGACCCAGAACCATGCAGAGTGTTGTTAGCCATCTAGTCCGGGCGGGGGAGCTGTGCTTTCACACAGGCCTGTAGCAGGAGTCTGGCTGCCACATGCGCAGGTCCACCAGGATCTGGTTGAGCTTCTGCATCCACAGGTTCCTCTCGTCCTTGGTGTCGGCACACAGCCAGTTCCTGCAGGTACACGTAAAGAGTCATGTTATGAGTTTCAGTATACTGGACCGGAGACCCAAGTCAGTTTACCTCCCTTCTCCCTGAAGCGTGCACTCGTTCACTTCCCTGAAGTATTTAAAGGCATTGAATTGGTTTAAGAAATATGGTAACACTAGACACTGCCTACACCCATCCAATTGTTTTTAAATATTTGAGGGGGAGTGAACAAGTGCTCACTTCAGGGAGAAGAGTGCAGAAAATAGAAAACTTGGGCTTCAGTGTGCCAAATGTCATAAAATCAGCCAATCTTCAAATAATTGCTCCACACAAGGTACTTGCCTACAAAACAACACAGCGTACTATAGCAACTTCGACCAGTGACTTACTTGGTGACACACATGGTGTTTTTACACTGGCTGACGAGCGTCTCTCTGTCGTCCTCTCTCTGAGGCCGGACGGTGATCAGCTCGAAGGTGTTGGGCCGGGCACAGAACTCCCTGTTGGCTGGCTCCACCTTACGACTGGTGCAGTTGGCCAAGTTGATGCGACCTATTGGGTTCTAGAAAGACATGCACCCGTCCAAAGAAATTGAATGACAATTAAAATAGATAAAGCTACTATAATTGTTAGCAACATGAATTGACATACTGGTACATTACAACCAAGAATAACCACAATAAAACCTGAATGCTTATTTCCACTGGTCCTATAGTATTGAAAAAAATAGGCTCACTGGGCTTATCATTAAAAACTAAAGGCTCCAATAGTGCTCGACGGCAGGTTGGCTTCAACATCCTCCTACCTTGCGTTTCTCGTCATCAGGGTAGGTCCAGTAGGAGATACAGTATCCTGACAGGACACACCATCTCCTGTGCCATGCTCCGAACCCACTCACATCCTCAAACATTGTCTGTAAAACAAAAAAAAATACAGATTAAGATTAAGCCTGTCCAAGGTGAAATCTCAAACGTCTCCCCTTGAAATAACAAAATGTTAGTCTGACTACCTGAGGGCATGGGGGATGTAGATCTGTAAATCTATGTTTAGGCTCCATGTCTACACTGCATCTGATGCATGCGTGTACTCACCAGGAAGCCTCTCTCCTCCACCAGGGAGCCCACCTCACACTGCATCTTCAGGTAGATGTGGCCCTCCAGGGGGCACAGGAAAGGCACCTGGAACAGATTACACAGGACATGTAACACAGGCCTCAGCTGAAAGACCACCAACACCTCCACAAAATGCTTCCATCGAATAAGACGGCCGGGTGACAGGACAGATTGGGTTAATTAGCTTTTAGGCAGAAATGTAAGCCTGTTGTCTTCTAATAAGAGTAAATTGGCTGGATGGTGACAACTTAACTGCATACCGTGCCTGAAACACCCCCAAAACATACAAAAGACATCCAGCACAACTTACAGTCCTTACGACAATACCAAGCAACTTGTAGTTTGAGGTTAGAAATGTTAGTGTCACAACAGAACCAGATTATTTTGTTGTCACAAACCACCACACACACAAATCCCAAAATATGAAAGTGGTCATGGATCGAGTAGCAACCTTGCTGTGAAACATGTCTCTGAGAAGCGCTCTCTCAATGCCTTCATATTTGATCTAAAAGAGAGAAACGAGGAGTGTGTGTGAGTGAATGAGTGTCAGAGGCGGGCAGGCAGCACACAGACAGTGCAGGTGGCAGAACAAAGACTGTTTTTCAGATTTGTAGGCCCGTCTCCCTGCTCCGGCCTCTCTCAGGACAACTGTCAGTTCTAAACTCTACAGATGTTAGACCCTCCCCTACGATTACCCTGGACATTAGCTGGTATTGTGTGCAGAGACACAGCAGAGGTCAGCTAAAGTGGAAATAGAGGGCGAATTCAGGATATAAATGGAAGTGGAGTCAGAACAACATTTCAATAAAGTTTTTAAAAATGTTACAAAAGTCTTCGGATTTTACCTTCTCCAATGGGAACTTGTTTTTCCCAATTGAGGCTAGAGTTAGCTTGTGAGACCCGACCAGGACAAAGTTACTGGTGCGGACTGTATTTGGGCCCCCAGGACTGGCCACCACTGCAAAGAGAGAAAGGAGGATTTGTTGTTTAAGCTACACATTATTTGTTTTAGCAGACATTAACATCCACAGAGACTTGCAAAATTAATAAGTCTGTTCAACTGAAGTAGGTGAGACTGAACCACACATCACAATTACTGCAAGTAAAACCTTCATAAAAAATATCCACTAGCAGCAGTTACTTAAAAAGTATCCTTACCTGGAGTCAGACTGCTCTTCTACAGGGGCAAAGAGAGAGATGTTATGAAGAGGAGAGGCATGTTTAGAATGATTTTCAAGATGGCTGACTGTACGTACTGCATACATCATATATGACAACAGTAACAGAATAATAGTATAACGCATTCATTGATGCAATTCTACATTTTCCATGTGGCGATCATTCCTACCAATCCCCCTGAACAGATCCGATAAGTGTTCAAACAAACATTCTGTATGTAACCACAAGGCAGTGTATTAGAGAAGGATGATAAGAATGAAAGCTTACAGAGATGGCGAGGAACCTCTTGGGAGTGATGGCCTAGAAAGAGAAAAGGTGATTGAGTTTCAGAAAAGGTTACGTCAGGACATAGACAAGGGAATGAATGGGTATTTCAAAACACTGACTAAGCCAACCCTGCTATTGTGAGCTGTGAACAAAGCCTTTCAAAGAGACCATTCACTGTGTGTTGGAATGGAAAGAAGGAGCCTGAAGGCCTAATGTGTGTGATGGCAGCAGTAGGCCCAGGGCCTGGTAAGCCTTGTGTTAGTTGTGTTCTACTACCGAGTAGTAACATTACAGTACACCCACACCAAAAGGTGAGTGGGGCTTTAAAATCAGTCCATACCGACAAGCACAAATCGAACATGGCTCCACACCATCTCATCTTAGAGACAGGACGTTTTTTGAAAATAGCTCTAAATGCAATGCTCTAAATGCATATTCTGATACATAGCAATTGCACTGTATTCAAGCAGAAACTAGAAGGAAAGATACAAGACTATTCCCAGGTCAAATATTAAATAAACTGAATTGTACAGTTTGTTAAGGCATATTTGATTAAATCACACTACCTTTGACTTGCTGGGCTTCTTCCTCTTGTCAGGGTTCAACTCACGCTTCTGCACCTGAAGGAAATAAACAGGGTTAAAGTGAGTAATATCTCAGCTCAAAGAAGTCAGAGTCCTCCTTAAACAATAACATTTGCATTTACAAAAAGCAGCAAGAACTCACCAGGCAGTAAACCTCAACATCAATTGCAAAGTCGTTAGAGACATCAGGCCTAAAACGGAAGAGAGACAGAGGAAGGCATTAGAACATGTATGACAGAGAGGACATGACATGCATGACAGTGGTACTACTCTACAGAATTTCAGAGAGGGAATCTGTGCAGTTTAACTGACATGGTGAACTTGGTAGAGAAGGTGATTGCGTCTCCACTGATAGCGCTACGTGTGCTGGCCAGGGGAGTAGCAACTGTATTCTCAGCTCCAGCACGGATCATGATGAAGAAGTAATGGCTTGACGACTCTGGAATAAACACAGATACAAAGTGGAAAATGTAATGAGTTCAGTCTAACACATAATACTTTAAGTATATTACAATTGGATTGAACAATGTAAATTTTTATCTTGTTTTTGACAGTACGATGTGGAAAACAGGAGATCAATTGAACTGTATTGTCCCCAAAGGCAATTTGGTTGCAGGCTCATTACAAACACTACAAAAGACATACGTCATTCACCAAAAGAATACAAATAAAAAAGGTGGTTAGAAGAGATAATCAAGTAACACAATTGTTGTGTGTTGGGTCTCTACCTGGCTTGTTAGCAGAGGAGCAGACAAAGTCAGCTTTGAGGGGCAGTCGTAGCTCCAGGAGAGAGATGGATCCCTTGGAGGCTGTAACCCCCATGTCCCCACCCTGCCCCCTCCTCTGACCGCTAGGACCCTCTCCATTCAGACGGTCCAACTCAGCCTTCAGAGCCCCCCGCTTCTCCGCTGGAGGGAGACAAGAAAAAGACGTGTAAGAAAGTTTAAGCGAAATGCATGTCGATAATCTTAAAAATATAACAGCCGATCCCCAAGGGGTGTGGTGCAAATTGGGATTGGCTGTCAGTGTGTGCACCCATGTTGTAGGGGTAGAAGGGGAACTCACTGGCTACGAGCAGCAGCCTCTCAGCCTCTGCCTCCACCTGCGAGCCTTTCCCATGCTCCTCATCCGTACAGCAGTTCAGAGCTTGGCTGGCCTGGCTGATCACGGTCTGCTGCAGGTTCATCTCATTGGTCAGAACCTACAAGGAATCAGAAAGACGACATCTCATTGGTCACATGGAACGAGGAAATCAACATCAGCGGTCAGAAGAACCTACATGGAAGGAAGGGGAAAATATCCCAAGAGATGAATATTTTGCACTCAGAGCACTTACACTTGATTCTATACTCTACTACTAGATCCCTTACTATTAATAACAGTATGACAGGGCCACCTCTGAAGTAAGTTGTTCTTGCTCTGGCATTGTGTCACAGAGTCAGCTTCCATCTCACTTATGGAGAAAACGCACCAGACCACTGTTGGTGCGGTGTGTTATAGAGACCACCGCCATTGGCAATTTAACAGACGTAATTTCCGTCCATTTCTACATGTGGAATCAGTTAGAAAATTACAGCGGCACTCTGTTCAGAGGTGTTAAGTACTCTCGGCCAGCAGATGCTCAACAATCCTACCGGTCTGTCCGTGCCTTTACCTTCATCTTCTGTTTGATGCTGGTGTGTCCTTGGCTCCTGGGTTCCTCTGCTGCTCTCCGAGACATGTCCTCCTTCCTCACAATGACCTGCTTCACACAGGGCCTCTCCGTACTCTCCTTGATCCTGGTCGACCTGTACGCATCAATACTGGAAGAGAAAGGAAAACATATGGAGAGAGTGAACAAGGAAGGCTGCTTTGCTTCAGTGAAAAATACCCCATAAAAGTATCAAAAGGGTGTTAACTGGATACAAGGGTCTCTGAATGACCTAAGAGAAAATAGTTATGGTTCGTATCTTGAATTCAGTGAAACTAAATGACATAAATAGAAAAGTTGTTGATGTATCAGCTGAAGGGGTGAAGCTCAGCCAGTTACATTAGAGATACCATGAATTCAGTAAGGCACCAGTTTGGGTATGTGCCTTTAACTGGTTAGAGAGTGGTTGGTTACCTGTAGGGCAGGTTGTGGTCCTCATGTTTGTCTGTCTCTAGGCTGTCTGATGACCCGGCCCGGAGCATGCAAGCCCTCTGGAACTTACTGGGTCTGGACACACTGTCAGGAGTCTGGCTCTTAGCGTTGAATGAACTGGCTGGGGTCAACATCTTGTCAGGGATATACATGAAAAAGTATTAGGTTGGCCCAAAAATTACATATTTGGCCATAAGTCTATCTAGTCCATGGGCGCAAACAAAATATGACAAGCTTGCATTAAAAAGCAGTCCAAGACATTAAACAGCTGAAAGACTTTTCTACTTTGTATGCTTAGCATTTTTTCCATTTTGTTTCCAGCTTTGTACTGTAAACTCACCATCATTTTCCTCACTGGGCTCTTGACCACGGCAGCCACAGTCTCAGAGAAGGGGGCCAGGATGGACATAGAGGAGATGTTCAGTTTATCTTCCTCCTCGTCTCCTGCACCCTCCTCATCCTCACCACTCTGGTCATGGAACCCGTCAAAGTTGTTGTTGATCACATCAGAGTTGTTGGACTGGTCCACGTTCATCTCATGACTCTCTTCTTCATCTGCATTGAGACAATAGTGAGTGGGATGTTATAGTGACGCCATCAGTGTAAACTTAGATTATATAGAGGACTGCTCTGATTAAAATCGTTGTTGACCGAAAGCTTAGGACATAAAAAAAATCTGGAACTTGCATCCGATTAAAGCATCCAAATAAACATTTTTAGGATCAGTGTAATCAAGAAAGATCAAGATAGTAAGTACAGTACCTGATTCCTCCTCCTGTGTTTCTTCCTCAGAAGGCTTCTCCACTGAGAATTCTACACTCTTCACAGGGCTGGAGGTTGGGGTGGTGGCAGCAGGTACATTGGGTTTCTTGGGTGCAGCATTCAGGCTATCCAGAGGGGAAGCTGTTGGCTCATCATCAGGCTGGGAGACAACAGGCCGTCTCTCCTCAGGCTGCTCAATCAGATCCTGAGAAAAATTATTACAGGCTCATTTAACATTTTCTTCATAACTGCTTTGCAGTTGCCCATCATACACCTGTCTGCACATATGAAGTTTTGGTCGAAATAAATATACTTCACCACCAACCTTGGCATGTGTGTTTTTCTTTGAGTCTGCTGCCGCCTCCTTGTTCTTCCAAATGTTGTTCCCTTTCTGGAAGCGGTTACGAATCTGAGCCAGTTCCGACTCACGCTCCTGCAATACAAAACAAGAAAATGACAACTTTCCATCAGTCTGGTCACAAAACAAATGTCATAATACATGTAATACTTTAATTTTAAAAAGAGCTATTCATTACAAAAATAAATGCCAAAGTGCCGTACAAAGGCAAAACTAAAGACATTACGGTAGAAGGTCTGGGTAAATAAAGTGAACTGTAGTACCAGTTTCTGTTTCTGTGCAAGGTCAGCGGTGGCGGTGTTGGCAGCCTGGGCAGCTCTCAGCCTCTCCTGCACCAGCCTGGTGTTGGGGGTCACAGACTGGCTCACCACAGGGGTACGACCAGTCAGGCCTGCCCCAGACGGGTTCACTACGGTCGGGGTACGAGCGGCAGCTCCATGGCTGGTAGCAGGGGAACTCAGGTCAGAACGCTCCTGGCGCCTCTCCCCAAAACGCTCCATGAACGACTTGACACCTGTTAGAAACAGAAGAGAAAAATATTCAGTAACTCTTGGAGGACAATGGAAGTGGATATAGACATTGAAACACAGCAATGGTCAAATGAGCAGAGACTATGTATTAAAACATCTGATATTTCAGAACATCCTAATAAGCTGTCGACTTTAGCTTAAGAAAAACAACAAAGCTAAGTTGAGTGCTAATTCTCGCACACCTGGAGTTCCAGTTGCTCCAGCTGTGCCTCTCTGCTGCAGGGGAGTGGCTGGGGTGGTCTCCTTGGTGAACCTCTCCCTGGTCTGCAGGACAGAGGGTCCAGTGGTGGAGGGCTTCTTGGGGCTAGCGTTGACCTCCAGGGCTCGGGACAGGGCCTGGTTCTTCAGGGGGCTCTGAGGCACAGGTGAGGCTGAGGAGGGAGCGCCTTTCTGGGGGCTAGGGGTGAAGGCTGAGGCTCTCCCCTGGTAACTCCTCTGGGGACTAGATACAGGAGAGGGGAGACCTCTGCCTGTCCGTAGAGCTGGTCTGGCTTCAGGTACTTCAGTCTTCTGGGGGCTGGGGGGAACCGCTCTGGTGGACTTGACAGGCTGCTGAAGAAATGCAAGAGGGAAATTATTAACCAAACTGTTCAGAAAATCTCAGTCTTCTGTATGTGCGTCGAACATAACAATTTATAATTAGTTGTTACTGCACACCGCCTTCTTGCAAAGCATCACCAATTAATATCTTAATTTCTACTTCTGAATCTTTTTCACATTCAAAATGGCTCTATATAATCAGTTTCTCCCATGCATTGACATATTAATCACACAACAGTTATGTACATCGTGATTAGTAACAAAGTCAACTGTCGCATTATGACTCACCTGGTTGGAGTCCAGAGCAGGCTTGCTGTTTGATGACTGACTCATTTGTGGCCGGTCTGCAGCAGCAGAGGTGGGTTTGGCTCCAGCACCAGCCTCTCTCCTCCAAGCAGGGGTGGCGGTACTGACACTACCAGGCTTCCCTTGTGGATTGTCTCTGCTGCGAGGGGCCGCGTGGCTGAGGTCGTCCTCCCAGGACCCAATGGTGGCAGCGAGGCTGGCCAGCCGACCCTTCCTGCCCACAGGGGCCTCTGAGGACACAGCAGCAGGGTCGGGTGTGGGGACCGAGGCTACAGCCTGCCTCAGCTGGGTCTGGCTCTTCACTGGGGACAGAGCTGCTGGGATGTCTGGAACCTCGTCAGAGGTACCTTGGAGGAGAAAAACATACGCATTCAAATTTGTCAGGCCAAAACACTAATATGTGTTTAATATGATTGTTGTAGTATATTTCTAAACTGATATTAGAAGGTGTAAAAAAATATGTTTGTCAGGTGTTCTATAATGGTTAAGCAGGTAATACATGTACAAATGAAATGATCGAGCTAGTCAACAGGCCATGCTCCTTACCTTCAGAGTCCCAGTACTGCCTCTGTTCAGCCAGTCTGGCCAGGCGAGACTTCATGGCAGCAGGGGTTGAGGAGGTGGGAGCCTCCCTCTGCTCTTCTCTGTTCCTCTGAAGAACTGGGCTAGTAGGCACCTCCTCCACATTCCTGGTCCTCTCTGGCTGTGAAGCAGCACTCACAGCCACCTTCTCTGGTTCTGGGGCAGGGCGCGCTACCTCCCTGGCCCTGACCTGCTCTGGGACAAGCTGTGCTGCCACCATGGGCTCTGGTTCAGGAACGGGAGCACCAGGGCAGACATCCACCCTCTCCAGAGAAGAGGCAGAGCGGATGCTGGCTGGGCCCGTTGGGGGCTTCCGGTCAGTCTGGGGATCTGACAGAGTAGGGGTCAGGGTGCGAGGAGGCATCGCAGGCGCTCTGTTCTCCTCACCAATAATGGTGGGCTTGTCAAGTTCACCTGAACGACTCCGCTTGGAGGGAGAGGGCTTGGTGGACTGGTGGGGGGCTGGGGGGTCAAGTAAGAAACACCATGAGTTAAGTTTACACACTGGGAGATTTCCAATCCACAAAATTAACATAAGTATTTGACTTGATATACATACGATCTGAAATGTCACCATTTTGTCTATATTTGTACACAGCATAGGGAAAGCTACAGCCCTAGACCCATCCCACTGATTTGATCAGATCATTCTCTTTGAGCAGTTTCAATGGTCAAGCTTCTTGTATGGAAAGCTGTGCACGTGCAGGGCAAGAAGTTCAACCACTTCCTGAAGGCTAATGGAACCATCTGGGGTTTCAAATAAAACAAAACTAATCTATGCCATATTCACTATCGCAACCAGAGGGAGCACTGTGCTCGCAAATAATTGATGTATTTTATATTGTATCACTTTGAGAATAAAAGTGTATGATCTTTTTGTAGGAAGGCCTTCCTTACCTTTGTCGATGACAGGCTCTGTGACCAGGCTGTTGCAGGTCTCAGCCAGAGGCTCCCTTGCTCTCTTGGCCATCTGTCTGTTAGAAGCAGTGGGCCTCTCTGCCATCTTCTTCTGCAGGTTCTCCCTGCGAGCACGGGTCCTCTCCAGGAGTTTCTGAACAGGGAAAAAAACAATACTTTATTATGAAATATAACATTTCCATTTAGAGCACTGTGTGCACTCTTTTTTCTAATTTGATTGAATCTAATGAGAACAGGACCTAGGAGTAGTAGCCTGCCGTACCGTCCAGACAGCATTGACTAGCACATATAAAAGTGACATCCTGAGGGACATTCCACACCATTGTAAACTTAAATTGCAACTGCGCCACTTTTCAACCTCATATTTATTATCTCCAACCAGTGTCTACATAGGGCTGGCTGATATATCAAATTAATTTGAATGTTTTTGCACGATATTCCAAATGCCTGTATCACAAGAATCAAGTTTATTTTGTATAATTTTATGAGCGTTTATGTTCGCTTGTTCTCATGTCTTTTTGGTATCGTCTCCTTCGCCCCCATCTGCTGCGACTGTGCACCTTTTCATTTATACATGCACACCAAGTCCCTCCACCACACACCAAGCCCCTCCCCCTGCCACTCACAGTAACAAAGATGAAAGATCACTTCTTCCGATCTGACAAGCATTTTCAACTCGCTATTTGCATTTGGTCCAACAGAAACAGTCATACGGACACCGAAACACATTGAACAATTATTTTACTGTCATAGAGGAGAACATAACCTTTCTAACGATAGCCTTTTTATGTTTCAACTCATCAAATTGCAACTCCTCCTGAGCAGACCCTATTAAAATGGGAGTATCACTGAACATTGATTCTGAAAAATGTATGCTCAATTTCTGTTGTTCAGTACCACATTCCGCTACAAGCATTTTAGCCACATACTGTTATACTAGCGGTGTAGTCTGTGTTTTATAAATGTGCAATAAGCATAAAAAAACATAAGGAATTGGCAACTCGTTCTCATTCTGAGAAATAAGGTAGGCCACTTGATTTCAACATCTGAACAAAGTGGACAGGCTAGCATGCTGTTCAAACAGTTGGAGATGGACAGAAGGGTGTGTTCATAACAATTCAACTGTTCTATATTGTTAGCTAGCAAATAGATCCAAGTTAGCTATACTTTAAATATAAAGATTAGCTTGCTACTCACTAGCATGTGGGCTTGTGCTTGAGAGATTGTTTATGAGACCTGTGTTCATTTTCTATAATGTCTGCTACAAGAAATGTGTCATTATTAGTGAATGTGCATTATGCATGGTTCTGGTTAAATTTGTAAACAAAAGGGTACTTGAAAGTCAGATCAGTGATTATTGCAAAAAAGCAGGTAAAACAAATTTGATAATAAAATTATTTGTAGGTTTTATGGTTGTGTAAGGCTTAAAATCTAGATGATTTGTAGGCCACGTCGCCCGTCTACATATGTGAAAGCGGCGCATTTCTTGAAAATTATCACGTTAAAAAAGGTATACCCAATGACAGTGATTTCCAAACACAGATTGCGGTGACATGGTGGGCAAGAAAATACACTCCCTCTGCCTAGAAACTCGTTGCAGGTTTTGAAACTCACTTTCTTACATTTAAATTCTACACTGTGATGTCACATAGAAGCATTTTTTAACCACAGATGTAGACACTGGTTTGGTGCTGGAGATAATGAATATGAGGTTGAAGTGGTGCCATTTTAGTATGTTTTCCTTTCTGTTCTATTTTATTGCACCCATAGTGAGCAGTGGATGGAGGGGGTCTATGGCTTTCAAATAGTGAAAAAGTTTTAGTCCACATCACAGGGTCAACAAAAACTACTGAGTCTGGGGGAGATAAAAGGCTGCCATTGCCTCTACACTACTTCTCCCTGGCCTCCTACTCTCCTGTCTGTTCTTCTCATCTGTACACTAAAACCCTAGCTGGCCTCCCAGTCCAAGGCAAACAGTCCTGAGGCATGATTTATTGCCCTGGGCCAGAGCTCTGGCTGCAACAGTGCAATACTCAACACATTCTTGCCTGTTTCAGAGTTGCCTGAGCAGCTCTCTCACCCAGCCAGGCTGTGTGGAAAACTTGTTAAAGTGGGTGTCATTCCTTAGGAATGAGCCACTCGGAATGAGCCACTCCTGACGTGTTGTGGCTACTGGATTTGAAATCTCCCAAGGCATTTCTATTGGTTGGAGTGGAAATTTGAGTGATTTCGTATACTGCTGATGGCCGCTGCTTTCTCTATATATACACACACACGAGTTGTCATGGAACAGAACCAGTTCCATACCAGAGTGATTTTTTAAATTAAATCTAGCTAGTCCTCATGGCACATTTGGTTTAAAAAATTGATAGTGTAATTTAAAAGGGAAATTGACAGACAGCTGCTGTATGGAAATGAAGGGGGGAAACACCCAGTGTAACTGAAAACACTAACGTTCACTCCTGTATTCATATTCAAATTCTTCACTTTGTCATACTGTAGTTTTGACTAATGCAGTCAAAGGTTGGAACTATTCCAAGCTCCAACTGGTATCCATTCATTCCCAATAAGGGAATTGTAGATTTCTCTCTCCCTGCTCACACGTTAAGGGAGGGGCTGGGGTTGTTGACAAGACAATTATCAGACTGCTTTATGCAGGCATGTCATGTACAGTATTAGAATTATGAAGAGGAAAATACCTTTAACAGGAGATGTCAGGGTTTAGATGTCATTTAGATGTCACTTCTATAACAGTTGACTTGGCTATCTAACGAGCAACAAATTGTTTTTGATAGCTAACGTTAGCTGTCCATGGTAGCTACGTTAGCTAGCAAATGTTACCCAGAACTTACTAGCTAGATAAAATAAATTAAACTGTGCACTCACCTCGGTAAACGGATCCATTCCGAGAATAGTTTATCTTTGTTAAAATCTACTGACTTAGCTATATTAAAATCTACAGACTTAGCTATATTAAAATCTACTGACTTAGCTATATTAAATAAGTATAGTTTATCTATGCTAATTCAGCAAACGCGGATAGCTCGTTTCACCAGACCAGACGCCTCCGTTCCTGTTTTTTTTTTTTTACAAACATTTGTTCAATATTTGAATTTCAGCGCTGTGTTCACTGCGCAGACTCCGACGGTTGAACTCACGCAGGAATCACGGGACAACCAATGAGAAACACAATGGGCGTAGACAGACGAAGTCTAGCCAATCAGATTCAAGTTTCACTCTCTCTCAATTCAATTCAATTCAATGGGCTTCATTGGCATGGGAAACATATGTTTAAATTGCCAAAATAAGTGAAATAGATAAAACAAAAGTGAAATTAACAATCAGAAATTAACAGTAAACATTACACACAGTACAGAGAGACAATTTAGAGCCAATGTCACACGTAGAAAAATATCTCTGATTGTGATCAGCTGAATAATAATAACCAAGTTGTGAATTTTTTTATATTTACATTTTAGTCATTTAGCAGACGCTCTTATCCAGAGCGACTTACAGTTAGTGAGTATATATATATATATATATATATATATATATATATATATATATATATATATTAGAATAGAATAGAACAGAATAGTCTGTCTGTCTTTTGTACTTTCTCTCACCCACACACAGCCAATGTTGTAGACTGGACATTCAAGGCCCAACCTTCAGCGAGACAGAAGGAGGATGGAATTTGACCTGCCTGGTTAAATGAAGCATATCCTTTCCTTTATGCCATTGAGTCTGACTCACAAAACATGCAGGAAGGATACATGGAAGCAGGTAAACAGATATTGAATGAAGTCACATTTATTAAACAAGTTGGTGAGAAAAGTGAAAAACATAACACAAATATGTATAAACTATATAATGACACTTTGAAATAATTAGTGGCAAAAACTCTAATCTCTTATTTTTACTGAAAATAACTTAATCTCACAGAAGCACAATTGTTTCTGTGTGACGTTGCCCGGGCACCATGGAAACAGCTCTTAGTTTGTGTAATTTCGTTCGTCAGTCTCAACAACAGCTCGAGAGCTACAGCAACACGACTGATGCCGGAGTGCTCAAAATAGGACATTCTGGTTAGCTGCGGTTATCGTTAGTTGACCATAGCTAGCTAGTCTTGTTCAGTTTGATCTAGCTAACTAGCGAGCTAGGTTAGGTTAGTGACAGTTGGCAAGCTGGTTAGCTAGCTAACGTTAATAGTTAGCTAGCTAGCAAGCTAGCTACTTGTTTTTTTGCTTGGAAGACGTTAAGAGGTTATCCACAGAACAAAGACTCAGAGGATGCTCGAATCAATAAAAGTCACTGGTATGTATGCACTTTATCTATGGAACGTTGTGCCTTGAATTTGCTTGAATATTTCCAACCTGGTCAAAAAGCCACCAACAACAGAAACACACTGAACTTCAAACATATAAAATGCTTTATTAGTTACTGTTATGTAGCTAAGCATACTTTATGAACATTTTAAAGTGTCTTCATTATTAGGCTTATAACAGTTGTGCTGCATATATGCTCCATTTTCCAATCATTCTGCAAATGTTTTGACACTAAGTTATCATTAATGGGCTGTTTTTAGACATAATTATAACGCTGTCATAAAGTAGTTACATGCTTAATAATAATAATAATAATAATACATATTTTAAGCGCTTTTCAAGACATCCAAAGTCACTTTAGCTACATACAAAAGATAATCCGCAGCAGGATAAAAATAAATAAAATCACACATTAAAATATTTAACTATATAAAAGTACACCAAAATTGTTATAACAAGTCTAAAAATGCATTATAACTGTCAGTAGCTACTGTCCAGCATTACTTGTCAGTACTGTACTTCCTCAAAAATCTAAATGAAGCTATTCTTCAGTGCAGCAGGAAAATGATTTTGTAGCTAACATGTGGAACTGCAAAATACTCCTGTTGCTGTAATAAAGCACAAAACATTGACATGTTCAAAAGGGATATTTATCCATTCTTAATGTATTTGTTCCATGACCAGCTACTGACTCCCTTATCTTTTGGAATGATTCAGCTTGGTAATGTTATCTGTAATGGTTTGTTTTCAAATTTGTTGTTGCCATGTGATCTGCTGAAGCCCTGAAGTGGTTGTGTTGTTAGTGCAGTGGTTGCATAGCTTCCACATCAGTGCTCCTGTCTGAACAGAGAGGTTATACAGAGTGTGATGATGCTCCTGGTCATCCAGCCCATCTCACTGGAGCTCAGGACACAAGGCTCTGCACTAGAGCAGCTACCCTGTCAGACTCTGGAGACATGATGGGAATAATTAGGTGACTAGGCCTAAATCATAACTGACAGTGCTTTGTGCATAGAGAAATCAATGAACTGCTGATACAATTGCTATAAAGCTGTAACTGCAGAGGTTGTCGGATATGTCCATTTGAGGTCTGTGCACTGTGATTGTATGAAAGGGAGGAGGATAGTAGACACCTTTATTGCCTGGGGCTGAGTGAGTCAGTGTTGCACTGTAAACCCAAACCAATGATATCACCCTCTGAGCTATTGAATAAACCTCTGTTCGGGTTCTCTGAACAACGCACGCACACATGACAGAATTCACAGAACTCTAGCTTTAGAGCTGAACTGGCTGCAGCCTGAAGAAGCTCCTCTGTGTCTCGTTCTGTAAGAGGATTAGTCTATCTACTGTTCAACAAGTGAGTGAGATAATCTAAAATAAGTAAGCTGCTGCGTCAGCATTACTGACTCATCCCTCGGTCAGTCATCATCACTTGTTGTTTCAGAAAGGCTCCATTGGCCAGAGATGGAGCAGTCTAAGAAGTACCTCCTGAGCTCGATGGTGCCGGTAGAGATGGAGATCTTTAAGAAGTACTCAAGCCCCACAGTGCCAGACAAGCGGCCTGTGAGCCCCACTCAGGTGTGCCTGGAGAAGCTGTCATCCAGCATCCTCAAGGACCTCTTCACCACGGGAACAAGCAGCTACAATGTGTTCCTGCAGGCCGAGGAGGAGGAGAGACAGAGCCCCAAGCACTCCCCGTACCGCAGGCCCAAGAAGACTGTGAGATGTGCCTCTACAACCAGCAGGTCACAGAACAACCACCGCCGTCCGTCTGTAACTCCTCTGTTACTGCTGGGCCAGCAGGGCAGCGGAGACACCAGGCACACCTCCTACCACCATGTCTTCTCTTCCGCCTCAGGGGGCTTCCCCAGCAGACCCAAGCCAGCCCACAGCATCAAGGTCCTGGGTAGCACCATGTACCTGTCCCATCGCCCTGTCTCTCAGCCCCGCAAGACCTGCTTGTCCAGCTCACCCCGTACCAAGCTTCCCTCGCTGCCCAGGGGAGGGGTGATGCGGGAAGGGGAGAACGCAGGGGTCAAGAAGCTCTGCATCCTCACCGCCATCAAGCCGTCCAACGTAGAGAAGGAGAAGGTGAAGTTCTTCAAGTCGGACTTCAGCTACAATCCTCAGTTTGAGTACAGCAACCCTGTGTCTCCGCTGGTGCTGGCTCGCCACAACAACGCCTCTGACCGCTTCCTGACACAGGTGAGACCCATGTCAATGAATAAATAGCACTTTTCGGCCATTTTAAACCAGAAATCTACCTACACATCAGCTATCACAGTGGAGAGGTGAGGAGTGAACTATCATGCCAATTACTGTCACAGGTAAGTGTAAGGTCAGGAACGGGAGACCGGTTTTATACAACTATTTTCAGCAAAGGCAAGAGATAGACTGAGCTGAAGTAAATCTGGCCACTCAGTGAAAGCCATGCAACCAGGTAGCAGACAAATCCTGTCAGACAAGATTGGATGGATTAGTTGGGGAAAACTTGCTTTAAAACTCCAGCTTAGCGCACCAATCAGGGGGTGGAAAGAGACATCAGTGCTCTCTCTGTCTGAGCTGTAGGGTTGAGGCAGAAAATATGACTTTGTGCACTATCTATCCACATTAGTATGTATCAAATGGCTATCCACATTAACCCATTCATCCACATTAATTCTGGGCAGATATCCAACAAGCTACTCTACCGACGGATCAGTATTTGAGCATGTTAAAAGTATAAAAGTTCAGGAGTCTTATGGCTTGGGGGTAGAAGCTGTTGAGAAGTCTTTTGGACCTAGACTTGGCACTCCGGTACCGCTTGCCGTGCGGTAGCAGAGAGAACAGTCTATGACTAGGGTGGCTGGAGTCTTTGACAATTTTGGGGGCCTTCCTCTGACACCGCCTGGTATAGAGGTCCTGGATGGCAGGAAGCTTGGCCTCAGTGATGTACTGGGCCGTACGCACTACCCTCTGTAGTGCCTTGCGGTCGGAGGCCAAGCAGTTGCCATACCAGGCGGTGATGCAACCAGTCAGCATACTCTCAATGTGCAGCTGTAGAATTATTTGAGGATCTGAGAACCCATGCCAAATCTTTTCAGTCTCCTGAGGGGGAATACGCTTTGTCGTGCCCTCTTCACGGCTGTCTTGGTGTGTTTGGACCATGATAGTTTGTTGGTGATGTGGACACCAAGGAATTTGAAGCTCTCAACCTGTTCCACTACAGCCCCGTCGCTGAGAATGGGGGTGTGCTCAGTCCTCTTTTTTTCCTGTAGTCCACAATCATCTCCTTTGTCTTGGTCACGTTGAGGGAGAGGTTGTTATCCTGGCACCACACGGCCAGGTCTCTGACGACCTCCCTATAGGCTGTCTCATCGTTGTCGGTGATCAGGCCTACCACTGTTGTGTCGTCGGCAAACTGCTGATTTTGTACGTTTGCCCACTGACAAAGAAATGATCAGTCTATAATTTTAATGGTAGGTTTATTTGAACAGTGAGAGACAGAATAACAACAACAAAATCCAGAAAAACGCATGTCAAAAATGTTATAAATTGATTTGCATATTAATTAGGGAAATAAGTATTTGACCCCCTCTCAATCAGAAAGATTTCTGGCTCCCAGGTGTCTTTTATACAGGTAACGAGCTGAGATTAGGAGCACACTCTTAAAGGGAGTGCTCCTAATCTCAGCTTGTTACCTGTATAAAAGACACCGGTCCACAGAAGCAATCAATCAATCAGATTCCAAACTCTCTACCATGGCCAAGACCAAAGAGCTCTCCAAGGATGTCAGGGACAAGATTGTAGACCTACACAAGGCTGGAATGGGCTATAAGACCATCGCCAAGCAGCTTGGTGAGAAGGTGACAACAGTTGGTGCGATTATTTGCAAATGGAAGAAACACAAAAGAACTGTCAATCTCCCTCGGCCTGGGGCTCCATGCAAGATCACACCTCGTGGAGTTGCAATGATCATGAGAACGGTGAGGAATCAGCCCAGAACTACACGGGAGGATCTTGTCAATGATCTCATGGCAACTGGGACCTTAGTCACCAAGAAAACAATTGATAACACACTACGCCGTGAAGGACTGAAATCCTGCAGCGCCCGCAAGGTCCCCCTGCTCAAGAAAGCACATATACAGTGGGGAAAAAAAGTATTTAGTCAGCCACCAATTGTGCAAGTTCTCCCACTTAAAAAGATGAGAGGCCTGTAATTTTCATCATAGGTACACGTCAACTATGACAGACAAAATGAGAAATTCTCCTCTAGAGCAGTGATGTTTTGGGGCTGTCGCTGGGCAACACGGACTTTCAACTCCCTCCAAAGATTTTCTATGGGGTTGAGATCTGGAGACTGGCTAGGCCACTCCAGGACCTTGAAATGCTTCTTACGAAGCCACTCCTTCGTTGCCCGGGCGGTGTGTTTGGGATCATTGTCATGCTGAAAGACCCAGCCACGTTTCATCTTGAATGCCCTTGCTGATGGAAGGAGGTTTTCACTCAAAATCTCACGATACATGGCCCCATTCATTCTTTCCTTTACACGGATCAGTCGTCCTGGTCCCTTTGCAGAAAAACAGCCCCAAAGCATGATGTTTCCACCCCCATGCTTCACAGTAGGTATGCTGTTCTTTGGATGCAACTCAGCATTCTTTGTCCTCCAAACACGACGAGGTGAGTTTTTACCAAAAAGTTATATTTTGGTTTCATCTGACCATATGACATTCTCCCAATCCTCTTCTGGATCATCCAAATGCACTCTAGCAATCTTCAGACGGGCCTGGACATGTACTGGCTTAAGCAGGGGGACACGTCTGGCACTGCAGTATTTGAATCCCTGGCGGCGTAGTGTGTTACTGATGGTAGGCTTTGTTACTTTGGTCCCAGCTCTCTGCAGGTCATTCACTAGGTCCCCCCGTGTGGTTCTGGGATTTTTGCTCACCGTTCTTGTGATCATTTTGACCCCACGGGGTGAGATCTTGCGTGGAGCCCCAGATCGAGGGAGATTATCAGTGGTCTTGTATGTCTTCCATTTCCTAATAATTGCTCCCACAGTTGATTTCTTCAAACCAAGCTGCTTACCTATTGCAGATTCAGTCTTCCCAGCCTGGTGCAGGTCTACAATTTTGTTTCTGGTGTCCTTTGACAGCTCTTTGGTCTTGGCCATAGTGGAGTTTGGAGTGTGACTGTTTGAGGTTGTGGACAGGTGTCTTTTATACTGATAACAAGTTCAAACAGGTGCCATTAATACAGGTAACGAGTGGAGGACAGAGGAGCCTCTTAAAGAAGAAGTTACAGGTCTGTGAGAGCCAGAAATCTTGCTTGTTTGTAGGTGACCAAATACTTATTTTCCACCATAATTTGCAAATAAATTCATAAAAAATCCTACAATGTGATTTTCTGGAGAAAAAAAATCTCAATTTGTCTGTCATAGTTGACGTGTACCTATGATGAAAATTACAGGCCTCTCTCATCTTTTTAAGTGGGAGAACTTGCACAATTGGTGGCTGACTAAATACTTTTTTTCCCCACTGTACATGCCCGTCTGAAGTTTGCCAATGAACATCTGAATGATTCAGAAGAGAACTGGGTGAAAGTGTTGTGGTCAGATGAGACCAAAATGGAGCTCTTTGGCATCAACTCAACTCGCCGTGTTTGGAGGTGGAGGAATGCTGCCCATGACCCCAAGAACACCATCCCCACCGTCAAACATGGAGATGGAAACATTATGCTTTGGGGGTGTTTTTCTGCTAAGGGGACAGGACAACTTTACCGCATCAAAGGGACGATGGACGGGGCCATGTACCGTCAAATCTTGTGTGAGAACCTCCTTCCCTCAGCCAGGGCATTGAGAATGGGTCGTGGATGGGTATTCCAGCATGACAATGACCCAAAACACACGGCCAAGGCAACAAAGGAGTGGCTCAAGAAGAAGAACATTAAGGTCCTGGAGTGGCCTAGCCAGTCTCCAGACCTTAATCCCATAGAAAATCTGTGGAGGGAGCTGAAGGTTCGAGTTGCCAAACGTCAGCCTCGAAACCTTAATGACTTGGAGAAGATCTGCAAAGAGGAGTGGGACAAAATCCCTCCTGAGATGTGTGCAAACCTGGTGGCCAACTACAAGAAACGTCTGACCTCTGTGATTGCCAACAAGGGTTTTGCCACCAAGTACTAAGTCATGTTTTGCAGAGGGGTCAAATACTTATTTCCCTCATTAAAATGCAAATCAATTCATAACATTTTTGACATGCGTTGTTCTAGATTTTTTTGTTGTTATTCTGTCTCTCACTGTTCAAATAAACCTACCATAAAAATGATAGACTGATCATTTATTTGTCATAGGGCAAATGTACAAAATCAGCAGGGGATCAAATACTTTTTTCCCTCACTGTATATAGCCCAGGGATGGGCAACTGCGGGCCCCTACACAAGGTGCAAATTCAAAATGTGGTTGTGCATCAACAGTTTATCTGTTGTTATGTCAGTCACTTAAGTAGCCCATGTCAGCAAAACATTTGTAGATTGTTAAGTTAGTCTAGCAGACTGCTATCTAAATTTGTAGTAATCAAAGTCGAATTAAAGCCCTATGGCATTGTGTAGAATTATAGGAAATTAGCTGTAGAACTGCTCATTTTCTCTACCTATGGCAAAATGTGTGGAATTGCACGAAATTAACTCTAAAACTTGAGAGCAACTGTGGCCCCTCATGATGAGTTCAGATTTTCTGTGGCCCCAACCCCCATTAAAGTTGCCCATCCCTGATATAGCCTAATTATAGGGAGCTGTTTTCTATGCAGTATATCCCTTCAAACAAATCAACTGAAGGATGAGACAAGTTCTTGTTATTTCTCTCAATATCATCTGAACACAAGTTGCAGTCAAGAATGGAATCAAGCCTTTATAACTGTATCCTTACCAAGATAATACCGGAGTCCATCATTAGATTTGAGCATAATGTTGTCTGTTAGTTGATGGCATGACATTGTGTTTCTCTCCCGCTACAGGCGGTGCATATCATGGAGTTGGCCCTCCAGAAGTATGGGAACTACGAGAAGTTTGAGCAGGCCACAGGGGGCAACCTGCTCACCAAGGGCCGGATCTGGTACCTGGTCAAGAAGTACATGGAAAAGGAGGGCTGTATTGGGGAGGTGAGAGAGCGTCTTGAGTAATCTGATCCTAGATCTGTGGTCAAGGGCAACTTTTACCTGGAGAAAGGTAGAAGGTACCCCTTACCACAGATCCCGGGTCAGCTATGTTTCCATCCTCTAATGGTTATGCCAGAGAGCAATTCCCAGGGACCCATGGGTATAAAAGAACAGCCACACAGATACAGTAGAAGGCTGACAACCCCGCGGTGACAGGCAGCTTGTACAAGGTTTCCGTTTCCGTGAGCACATCTGCCTGACCCCTCTGTCGGCCCTGTCGTTTTTGCTGAATAGATTAATAATAACTTCTGACATGTTCTGAGCCATGATATGATGGTCATAGAGAACACAGGGAACAGCCAGAATAAAATACCAGGCTGTCAGGGGCTGGATCGTCATGTACCTCCTAAATCTCCCAAAATATCAAACCCCCTAAAATCACTATAATTAACATTCTGCACACCCCAACAATTCCCTCATATGGCGTGACCGCCACACAGTCCCTTCCCCACATAGTAACCCCATATCCTGCTATGGTACTGTAGCGCTTATTGAGGTAGACGTTCCTTAACCACATATCTCTCTGTGGTGTCTTTGCCAGATAGTGCTCCATATAAAGTGAGTCTCAACATCTCTCCCTCTCTCTGTTGTCAGATAGTGGTCAACGTGACAGACAACCTCCTCTCCAGAGCGTCCATGACGGTGGTGAATAGCCGGCCCACTCTGACCATCAACATTGCCACAGCCCGGGAACACTGGCTGGAAGGCATGCTACGACACGAGATCAGTGGGTAGTATAATTCCATTATACCTCTAGGGGTACTTAGTTTTGTCAAGATGTGCACAAATCCCAGTGTTTTTTCGAGTATTACAGCAACACAGTAATGTCTTTCAAGGGTCTTTCAATGCACACAGTTACTCCTGGATCAGGGAGAATGGGTCAGGAGTGTTAAGTGCAAAACATGTCTTGGCATCCTGACTGGTTGCATCACTGTCTGGTATGGCAACTGCTCGGCCTCCGACCGCAAGGCACTACAGAGGGTAGTATGTACGGCCCAGTTCATCACTGGGGCCAAGCTTCCTGCCATCCAGGGGTTGAAGGATTACTTGTTCCACCATTGGGGTGCCAGAGCAGCGAATAGTTTTGACTGGGCTGAGCGGGAACTGTGCTTCCGTAGAGGTAGGGGGGCTAGCAGGCCAGAGGTGGATGAACGTAGTGCCCTCATTTGGGTGTAGGGTCTGATCAGAGCCTGAAGGTAAGGAGGTGCCGTTCCCCTCACAGCTCCGTAGGCAAGCACCATGGTTTTGTAGTAGATGCAAGCTTCAACTGGAAGCCAGTGGAGTGTGCGGAGGAGCGGGGTGATATGAGAGAACTTGGGAAGGTTGAACACCAGACGGGCTGCAGCGTTCTGGATAAGTTGTAGGGGTTTAATGGCACAGGCAGGGAGCCCAGCCAACAGCGAGTTGCAGTAATCCAGACAGGAGAAGACAAGTGCCTGGATTAGGACCTGTGCCGCTTTCTGTGTAAGGTAGGGTCGTACTCTGCGAATGTTGTAGAGCATGAACCTGCAGGATCGGGTCACCGCTTTGATATTAGCGGAGAACGACAGGGTGTTGTCCAGGGTCACGCCAAGGTTCTTTGCATTCTGGGAGGAGGACACAATGGAGTTGTCAAACGTGATGGCGAGATAATGGAGCGGGCAGTCCTTCCCCGGGAGGAAGAGCAGCTCCGTCTTGCCGAGGTTCAGCTTGAGGTGGTGATCCGACATCCACACTGATATGTCTGCTAGACATGCAGAGATGCAATTCGCCACCTGGTTCTATATCGTGGAGCTCCGCCCCATAGGGGAGCTCTGCTCCTATTGGTTTACCCCGCTGCCTAGGCAGCGAACAGCCTGAGACAAAATTATGCACACACCTGCAGCCAATAGGAGTACGGGTGTCCCTATAAGAGGGGACGCTTCCCCTCAATCAGCCTCCCATTATCTTCAGCGACTGGACTGGACTGAAGAAGCCGATAAGAAGACGAAGACTCAGGACGAAGAAAACGCAGTCGATTTTCCAGATCATCGACCTCATCCTAAAATGAGCACACCAGGAGATTTCCCACCACCAAAAGCTCTTTTCAGAGCTCAATGTTGCTGTTCCTCTATGGCGACTGCTGACCCCCACAACTTATGTTTCGTGTGTCTTGGGTCTCAGCACGCCAGGGACGGCCTCATAGATCACCCACTATACTATCATTGAAAGAGAGGAAGCAGCAGTGGGCATTTTTTAGGGAGGATATTCCTCTTGAGGATGTGCTATCAGTGTTAGCCTCAGCTTCTGAGGCATCATCTAAGGGCGCTGACAGGGATATTGGGGAAGAAATTGATATTCTAGCGGAACAATCCATTCCTCTGACCCATGATTTTAAGACCCCATTTCCATTGGAAAGGGCAAGGTCTTTTTCATCCCTGGGCGATGATGATGCGGGCTCTGAGAATTCAGCAGCCACATCATACGCCACAGCCTCTCTGCGCTCTGACTTTCCAGGGCTCATCGAGAGGGCTGCCGAGCGCCTGCAGATTAAGCTGCCCCCCATTCCCTCCAACCCGTAAGTGGATATGATGGAGGGTGGTCCTTATTCCAGGCCCAGGAGGGCGGCGGAGCCTATGGCACCGACCATGCCCTCGCTTGGTAAGTATGTGGAGGGCTCATGGGAGGCACCTATAGCGGGTAAGGCGTCCCTCCCATTCACCAGAGTGGAAGGCAGACAGCAGGGCTTTTCAAGGGGAATCCCCAGGCTCGAGATCGCCCTGGCTGCGTATCTCGTGCCGGGTTCGAGTCCCTGGCCCTCGTCCAAGAAAGCCGTTCTACCCACACAGAAGGACCGACTCACAGCACAGCTGGTTGAGAAGTCCTTCGTGTTAGGAGCCCAGGCCGTAGTAGCGGCAAATAATATTGCCCTCCTAGCAGCCTCTCTGTCCCGCCTAACAACGGGTAAGTCTAAGCTCACTGGGGAGGAAGTGGAAGAGGCGTCCATGGCCACTTCGGTGGTGGTGGAACGACACCTTTGGCTGTCTATGACAGCCATGAAAGAGACAGACAGAGCCGCGTTACTGAACGCCCCCATCTCTGACGACGGCCTGTTTGGGGTCGCCGTCAAGGATGCGACGGAGCGTTTTATGAGGCTTGACGAGGAGAGGAAGCAGCTGGCCAGACACCTGCCACTGGCAGGAAGACTCGGCCCTGCACCGAAATGACCGTCAAGCTCCACCGCCTCAAGTAGACAGGGGTCTACAGCGAGGCGTTGTGCCCGGCGCCATGCAGCGACTTCCGTCAGCAGAGAAGCGGGCCCCGCCCCTCCTGCGGAGCCAGAGGTACCGACCGTGCCGTTGACAAGAGAGGTCGTCAGAGTGTCTTCTTGGAAGCACCCGAGGGGTGGCCAGAAGAGACGGCGCCAATGACGTGGCGAGGGGGCGAGAATGGGAGACGGCGCAGTGGCTGGTCCCACTGTGCCCATAATTCCCCCCCACCCTTTTATTGTATTTATTTTTATTTTTTATTTAACCTTTATTTAACCAGGTAAGCCAGTTGAGAACAAGTTCTCATTTACAACTGCGACCTGGCCAAGATAAAGCAAAGCAGTGCGATAAAAACAACAACACAGAGTTACATATGGGGTAAACAAAACATAAAGTCAAAAATACAACAGAAAATATATATACAGTGTGTGTGAATGTAGTAAATTATGGAGGTAAGGCAATAAATAGGCCATAGTGCAAAATAGTTACAATTTCGTATTAACACTGGAATGATAGATGTGCAAAAGATGATGTGCAAATAGAGATACTGGGGTGCAAATTAGCAAAATAAATAACAATATGAGGATGAGGTAGTTGGATGGGCTAATTATTAATAATAATAATAATAATAGTAATAATAATAATAATAAGCCATTTAGCAGACGCTTTTATCCAAAGCGACTTACAGTCATGTGTGCATACATTTTTACGTATGGGTGGTCCCGGGGATCGAACCCACTACCCTGGCGTTACAAGCGCCATGCTCTACCAATTGAGCTACAGAGGACCACCCATAGGACCACCCATACAGATGGGCTGTGTACAGGTGTAGTGATCGGTAATCTGCTCTGACAACTGACGCCTAAAGTTAGTGAGGGAGATAAGAGTCTCCAGCTTCAGAGATTTTTGCAGTTCGTTCCAGTCATTGGCAGCAGAGAACTGGAAGGAATGGCGGCAAAAGGAGGTGTTGGCTTTGGGGATGACCAGTGAGATATACCTGCTGGAGCGCAGACTACGGGTGGGTGTTGTTATGGTGACCAGTGAGCTAAGATAAGACGGGGATTTGCCTAGCAGTGATTTATAGATGACCTGGAGCCAGTGGGTTTGGCGACGAATATGTAGTGAGGGCCAGCCAACAAGAGCATACAGGTCACAATGGTGGGTAGCATATGGGGCTTTGGTGACAATACGGATGGCACTGTGAGGGTATGGAGGGAACTGTTGTTGTTGATATTTTGAATAAAGAGTTGGCTCCAATTGACTTTGTCACAAGAGAGCCCCTTTTCCATGATACATCCGAGAACGTTCAGACTCCTTCTCTCTCTCACTCTCTCACTCTCTCTCTCTCTCACCACTGAGTGTAGCTCAGCCCACCAAGGGTGCGTAGTTGAACACACACGAGGCAGGTGATAAAAAGGTAACAAGGCGCCGCCTTGCTTTACCTCATAAAGACCTCACATTACAGACTTCTAGGAGTGCTGTAGTGAAGGTCTCACATAGCAGACTGCAGTCACAGCCAGGTAATGGAATAATGACGCAATCGATATTCGGGGACGGCGCTCTGTCTCAGGCTAACGCCTCAGTCAGTGCAGTTCAGACCCGTGCTGCGTTCACCGAAGGCCGGATTATCGAGGTTACGAGTTTAACCAACGTATCGGCGCCCCCGTTTCTTTCAGAACGCGCTAATGTTTCCTCTCCCTTTCTTGGGAGGCCCGCCTTGGGCTGTTCCACCACTTCAGTGTTGGAAAACAGCGGCGGCGAGGGCCGTAGAGGAATACAGGTCCTTCCTACTGAATGTACCACAGCTTCGCGCTCTTCCGCTTTCTCTGCATTGCTGGGAGTGGCGACAAAGCTGTACCCTCTCCCTCTGGTTAGACCAGACGTTGCAGAAGGGTTATGCCATCCAATTCCATCAGACCCCTCCCCCATTCAGGGGGGTGGTGGAGACGGTGATGAAAACACCCTAAAAAGTTGCCGCTCTCGTTGCAGAGATTACGGAACTTTTGGCGAAGGAGGCGGTCACAGTAGTTCCCTGGGAGCAAAGGAACAAAAGGCTATATTCGGCCTATTTCCTGGTGCCGAAAAAGACAGGGGGAATGAGGCCGATATTGGATTTACGCATTCTCAACGAGAGCGTACCCAAACGGCCCTTTCGAATGCTAACGACAAAACGTCTACTGGAATGTGTCCAGAAGGGAGACTTTTGTATGACTTTTGTACATAGACATAAAGGACGTGTACTTTCATGTGCCGGTGCAGCCACATCACAGGAAGTTTCTGCGGTTCGCCTTTCAAGGGGTGGTGTACAAGTTAACGAGGATGCCATTCGGGTACGCCCTGGCACCTCGCACGTCTTCCAAATGTGTGGAGGCGGCATTGGAACCGTTGCGTCATCAGGGAATAAGGCTACTTGCCTACCTAGACGTTCTCGCCCCGTCAGCAGAGCTGGCGTTCACTCACACGACACAGACAGTGATTCATCTCACGCGTCTGGGGTTCACTGTGAAT